TCAATAACAGGGAACTATCTTACTGAGCAGCTTTTCCCATTTTCCACAGCTCTAATTATTATCAACTTCTTTACACTGAGCCACATTTACTTCCTGAAACTTCTACCCATTGATTTTGGTTAAAGATTAAAATCATTTTAATCCAGTACCATTTTTCTTAATTTTGCTTGGCTATTGTTTCATCTTTATCTTAATCAATATGACACTTAAATAAGAGACTAACATTTTTTTAAAGGCAGTAATGAGTTAGGATAGGCAGAAAAGTACATAGAATGGGGAAACCAAAAGTACAACATGGCAGGAAAGCACTGGACTGGGAACAGGGAGGTATCTGTTTTGCCATCTGAGGTAAGGCAGAATAAGTCTACATTCTCTTTTATAACTTCTTTTCTTCTTCAGGCTAATAATCTCAGTAGTTTCAACTGATCTTCATATTACGACTTCTAGTACCCTCACCAACCTGGCTGCCCTCCACTTGGCTGACATATTCATTCATCAAAGATCCTTATGAAACATGGTCCCTAGAATGGAATGCAACATTATTATGTCAGTTGATCCGAAAACTGGCTATCTTCTCTCCTGGTTTTAAGTGGACCAAAAATGGCTGAACACAATAGGATCATCACTTTGTTTTGGACACCCTTCTTGTAATGTAACCTAAGTCAATACCATTTCCAGGTTTTTAAAATAATAACTGCTATCTAGACAAGTTTCTTTTGAATACTTATACTGATGATTTTTTTTAAAATTGAAGTGCAGGACCTGACATATGTCCCTGTCCAACCTATCTTATTAAGATCTAAAAATCTAGTGTCTACTAAGATGCTTGTGGTTGCAACTGTCATGAAACTTTTATTGTCATTTTTGGAATGGCTACTATGTTACTGACTCGTTATTTATTTTGCCTTTAGAATTCATACAGTCTACATTTTCTCAGCTCTGTGCTAGGATTCTTCTCAGGGGCGAGGCTAACATGCTAAGAATGAAATCTATTGAATTTGAAGACTGATTTTACAGTCCCTACTCCATAATACACTGGAGTCCGAAGGAGAAATAACCTTACATTATTTCTATCATGGGCACTAGGCTGCAACCACATGGATGGTGCTTTGCACCTGTCCTGCATCCTAATGTGTATTATTGCTATTTTTATCTTTCCTATCTTCCCTACAAGATCAGAGCATCTAGAGAGTAAGAACAGTAGTTCATTCATCATACCTCCCTTAAAGCCTAGTGTAAGGTCTCAGAATTCAATTCAACAAACATTTAAGTGCCTACCACATTCAAAGCAATGTGCTAGGTCTTGGGGGACATAAAGATAAAAACCAAATGACCCTGCTCTCAAGGAGCTTACCTCCTGCTGTAGGATGGGATAGATACAAAAGTACATGCAAAGATTATACAAAAACAATTATAAACACTGAATTTTAACAAGTAGGTTTGCAGGAAGAAAACAGGAAAGGACTCACTGTAGGTGGCACCGGAGCTACACTGTAAAGAAAGGTAGGTAGAAGTGAAGGAGGAGTGCATTTTAGCAGACCACCTGCACAGAGAAGAGATGCAGAAATGAAGATAGGAGACATACTTCAGGGCGTCTTAATGCAAAAAAATAAAGTCTATATTCCATCTTAGAGGAAACAGAGAACCATTGTTGAGTTCTAAGTTGAGGAATAAAATGATGTGTTTTAGAAATAGCAATTTTGCAGCTGTGTGGAGGATGTACTGGAGAGGGGAGGCTAGAGGCAAAAAGACCAATTAGGAAGGAGTCCAGGTGAGGTCCTAAGGGCCTAAACCAAAGTAGAAGCTTTTTGGATGGAGAAAAGTAGACAAATGGAAGAGATACTGGGGAGCAGGCACTTCATCTTTGATGACCTGAGGAGCTGAGGAGACAGTATCTGGGTCCAGGGAGCTTCTTTTGCAGGAAAATGAGAAAGACTAATGGAAGAGGCAGCGGCTCTTATACTTACCTCTCTTACATATCATAAAAGGCTAGAGGCTTTGATGTACAGTAAGTAATTAAAGTCTATTTGGAGAGGGGTAGTTTCACAAAGTGGCTATACTTAAAATTAGTTGGTTTTCCTGGGGCTGTTTGTCACCTCCACTTCTTCCCCAATTTTCATATGACAAAGCCATTCAGGATCTGTTGTCTATACAATACTGGCTATTGTTTTTTTTTCTTTATTAAAGTCAATATGACATAAACACAATATGACAAATATGACTACTTCTCCAGTGGCATTGTGGCGTAATAATAATAAAACCTAACATTTAGATAGTGTTTACTGTGTGCCTGGCATTGTGTTTAGTGCTTTACAATTATCTCATTTGATCTTCATGATGACCCTGGGAAGGAGGTGCCATTATTATCCCCATTTTACAGATGATGAAATTGATGTAAACATAAGTTAAGTGACTTGCCTAGGGTTACCCAGCTAGTGTCTGAAGTCACATTTGAACTCAGGTCTTCCTGACTCCTGGTGTGGCACTTGATATCCACTGTGCTACCCAGCTGCTACCTAGAAAAAGCACTTCCTAAATGGAAGCTATAGGGATTCCATAGCTCCCTCTGACCCAGCCAATGGAGTAGGGGAGTCAGTTGGCACCAGCCACATTTTATAACACCAAGTGCAGGGGGAAACTTCCTCTTTAAGGTCTGGGTTGATTAGGAGAGCTCTGACAATGACATTTTCTGTACTGAAGAACCTCCTACTCCTAAATTATTATAGAAGCATAGGAGCTCAAATACCATCAGGCCAACAGGCTTTGATAAAGGATATGCAAGAGTTACAGGTAAAAGAATAATTATGAAACTCCATGATAGGATGTGCTTAATGGTTAAATGAGGTTGCCTTGGCAAATATTTTGCCAAAAGAAACCAGAAGGATATGGTGATTTCTGATGGGAGGCTGATATCTCCAAGCTATACAGGTCCAATGCAGAAAGGGAGGTAAAACTAGTTTTGAGAGCAGGATTTTTAAAGAAATACTGTGGGTTCAAAGAAGAGTGAACCTGGAGTGGGGATGGTAGGGGGAATCAAAGACGTAATCAAGAAATGCTCAGCTCATAGGAATTCAATAACATGTTAAATGCTCAGTACTTAGGGAAGAAATCAGAAGTTTTTGTGGAGAAAAAAGCATGGACTTTTAGATCTTGAGACTGAAAAGCATGGATTTCTAAGAAAGGTAGCTCAAAATCTATGATACTGTGCATATAAGACCTTAAACATCAGCTAGTCCAATCCCTTCATTTTATAAACAAGGAAACAGGTTCAGAGAGGTGAAGTGACCTATCTAAAGACAAGAAACAAGTTGTTGGCAGAGTAGAGTATAACACTGAGGTCTCCTGATGGCCAATCCAGTTCTCTTTCCACAATACTATGGCTGAACTGGTGGCTTTGATAGGTCTAGCCAGAAAATAATCTTACTTCTCCAGGAACCTAGAGTACTGAGGCTGAAATTGAGCTTAATTTATGGCAGGGGGTGAAAGGTGAATTAATAAGCAAGGTCAGTGGCCCCAGAGGTCGGAGTTACAAAAGGTTTACTAACCAGAAGGGGAGTGACAACAGAGAGAACCAGACACTGTTTAATATTTTAAATCCATGCCAAGTTAAATGAATAATCTGTCACTGGAAAGCTGTAACTTACTCTATCTGAATATAGTTGGTATCTACAGTAAACACAGTCATACCCTAGAATGTCACAGTTATCCTGTGAGGGCAAGGGTTGGTAAGAAAAAGATGGAAAAGCTACGAATTCCAAAAGACAGAAAATTCACAGCCCCACCCCCATCCCCTATACAAACACACACTCATGATTCCAAGAAATTCAAGATTCCAGAAAATTATCCAAGATCAGCAGCTACAGGCCCTGGGAGTGACTGTCACACTCTCTACCAGGTACTCTGTGGTTTAAGACCCAGGGGTTAGCCCAAAATGGGAAGTGAGGAGAGCTGGGGAAAGGAAGAACTCCAAGGGTCTTCCTTACTGGACTGAGTGTCAAGACTGACCTGAGCCACCCTGCCAGGTGGTCAAAACAAAACAACACCCCCCCCCCACTGAGTTCCGAGTAGAGGCTCTACTTCGGGGCGCTGGGGGGGACACTGCTCCCCCGGGCTCCAGTCATTTGGACAAGATTGACGTGGACTGTCAGTAAAAGCGAGTGGAAAGCTGGTTCTACGGGACTGTGTGGCCGGGGCACAGAACCAACCCAACGCCCAGTCAGAGAAGGTGCAACTGCAAAGGTGCCCAGAAGGCCCAAGCCTACGGAATTGACAACGGGCTTTCCTCCCACGGACAAAACTAGGAAAGGAACTCAAACACTTCCCACCCCTCCCAAGTGACCAGGTCCCTAGCACGGGGTAGGGTGAGGGAGAAGGAGCAGCTGGGCCGGCAGGGGTAAGGTGCAGGAGGGTGGTCGGGGTGGGGTAGAAGCAAGGCAGGAGTGGCCACGGGGGGTGGGGCAAGGCAGAGGCAAGCCCTGGAAGTGGGGGGAGGCAGGTTCGGCTACGGGGAGTGCTGCAGGACTGGGGAACAGGAAGAGCCACCTCCACTCCCCGCCCGATGGAAGGAGCGCCGGGAGGGGGAAAGGGAGGCGCTTCAGATGCCACCGCACCTCCCAGAGTCGGGGGGCCAGGAGACAGCGGTCTCACAGGGGAAGGCCCTGGCCGCTGGGGTGAGGAGATTTAGGAGGGGCGGGGGCTGCGGCGAATGAACCGGGCAGCCGCTGGCCTGGGTCACAAACGTCCTCCGCTGCCCAGTTGTTCTAGACCTGGCCCAGCGCCTGCCTCCCCCGCCCCAACAGGGAGACAGACCCCCTTTCCCTCTCCCCTTCGCCCCCCCCCCCGCCGGGCTCTTGGACGGCGTGGGGGAGGGAGGCGAGCCAGGGGCGGGTCTCTGCTCCTCTGCCCCTCCCCCTCCTTTCTGCCCCGTCTAGCTCAGCCCAGCCCGTCTCGCCTCGGTCCAGCCCGGACCCCCACTCCCAACCCACCGTGCCTGCACTCACGGCTCCGGCAGCTCCAGCAGCTCCTCCCCAGGCTCTCCCCCACCCACCCCAGAGCCAAGCGGCGGTGCCGGATCTGGGCAGTGCAGGGCCAAACGAGTCCCGAACACGTGGGGCCGCAGCGCCGGAACCGGAAGACGCAGGTAACTCCGCCCCCAAACCTTGCCTGGAGCTTGTCTAGGCTATAGGAGGCTAAGCCTTGTCTCTCTGGTGCCGTCCCTTGAGATGAGGCCCCGAGGTTGGTGAACCGGAAGTACACCTCGCGTACAAGCCAAGCCTGCTCTAGCCACACCCTCCGATCTGGCCCCGCCCCTCGAAAGTCTGTCAATCACTACTGACCCTTCTGCACATTGCCACCATCCTTCCTCCCCTTTCTGCGTACCTGTTTTGTTGCCCTGGCTGTCTCTGCTTGTACCTGGCCTCCTCCTCCCCTTTCCTTCTTGCCTCTGTCTCTGTGTGCCTCGTCGTCTCTCCCCGACTCTGCGACCATAGCTCTGTCTCTTTCAGTGGTGTCTCTCGATCTCGTCCTCTGTCTCCCTGTCTCTGCGCCTCTGTAGTCTCTGACTCTTTGCCTGTCTTTGTTCTTTGCTCTGTCTCCCTGTCTCTGTGTCTCTTCCTCTGTCGTTCTGTGTATGTCTTTGCCTCTCCGTGACCCCTTCTGTGTCTTTCCTTGCCTCTGTCCCTGTGCTAAGGACTGCCTGACTGTGCCTGCTTCTGTCCCTCCAACTTTGTGTGCCTCTCTGTCTCTGCCTCTTTTGCTCTATACCTGTACCCCTGACTCTGGATCAGTCTCTCACTCTGCCTGTCTCTCTTTCTCTGTCTTTGTTTCTTTCTCTGGCTTTTCCTTCTACCCCCCAGCTCAATTTTTTTGTCTCTCTTTTACCCTTCAAGAGTCTCTTTTTATGCCCCTCTTCTCTCTGTCCTCACCTTGTGTCTCTATTTCTTGTGCCTCTTCTCTGCCCCCTCCTTCTCTGTCATTCTCCTTCATGTATGTGAGTACCCCTTTTTGTGCCCTTTTGATTCCCTTATTTGACTCCCTTATTTATCTTTATATCTATTTGTTGCTAGGTCTCTCTATGTCTGTATCCCTGACTCTCTTTGTGCCCCTTTGTTTCTTTATTCATCACTTTCTCTGTCCTTTGTTTCTGCTGATTCTGTATGTCTTACTTTTGTCCTGACCCTCTGACTTTCCCCACTGCACAAACCCTCTTTGCCAAAAGTATATCATTCTTTGAACCTCTCTTTTTGTCTCACTGAATGCGTCTCTGTCCGTATCTTCTTCCCTTTGGCTGGCTTTCTCTCTCTTTCAGTGCCACTGGAACACTTAAGCACTTCCTCTGATGGTTAGGCCTTTGACCACTTTAAGAATTATACCCTATATTAGCTGAGAGGTATATATGGGGGAAACCACAAACCTGCATTGCCCCACTTTAAGATTTTGTAAAGTGATTTAGCAAGCATTATCTATTCCAATTTTCTCAGGCTGTGGGGCTGGCCAGGTCAGCCCATTAATTCTGCAAATACTTATCAAGTACATGTTTTTCAAGTTAATGTGCTAGGTGCTATCAGATAAGTCGATATGAGGGATGGAAAGGGAGGAATTCTCTTACAAATCCTGGGAAGTTGCAGTTAACAGTGAGTCCTGCTAATAGTATGTATAGAAGTAATCTCCCAGGTGCTAGAGCGGATGCATTCTTTACTCTCACTAGCCCAATTCCTGGACCAGAGATGTATCTTGCTTTACACTATATATGAGTTCCTGAATAGTCAGTAAATTGAAGACTATTTTAAATGCAATAGGAGAACTTAAAATATTTTGTCATATCCTTTTGCAAAGTCATAAACCCTTTTCTGGCATGAGTAATTATCTTTTAACTCATCTACTTTCAAAGTTTACATTTTCTTGTATTAGGTTTTTGTAATTTGGAGACAGTCATCTAACTCTAGGGTAGGGGCTGTGGAGAAAGAACCTCAATCTTCCGAGGCTGAGAAGAGACCTAGTTAATACTACGTACTAATTGGTACTTATGTTAGTACAATGAGTTTGACTAAGACACCTGAACTGTTCCTCTCCTGAAAGGGTCTTTACAAACACAATGGAATAATTTGATTCTGTATAAAGACGGAGGTGACTTTAATTAGAGACAGGCCCAGTGACAGAAAGTTTTTAGAATTTGCCTTGTGTTCAGCAACAAACTAACTCAAGCTCTCAGTAATCTAAACAGGATTTGGTTCAGTACTATCTCTAAGCCTAGTTTTTTTTTTTTTTCATTAAAAGTTAGTAGAAAAGTAATATTCAGGGATCCAAAAAGGAGTGGTGGTGATTTGTTGTTCATGTTTTGTTGTCCGTGTTCTTGTATGATTCCTTCCTATTATGGAGAGAGCTGTAATGTTGCACTGGAAATTGGACAGTACAGGAGTCTGTGACATCATGATCACAGTAACCATGGTTTGTGTCATTGAACCAGAAAGATTGAACTTGTGTTTGACCTTTTTGGTGTGAATCATGGAACATAGATCAAAAGATATGTGGATTGAGCTCAGTAGAAAGAGCACTCATTAGAGTTGTAGTTGGATAACCTGAATTTTAGTCCTAATTTTTCCATTATCTGATGGTGTGATGTGGACTAAGTCATTTCACTTCTCTGGGCTTCAGTTTTCTCATCTATTAAAAAAGGTAATTATACTAGATGATATCTAAGTTTTCTTCTAGCTCTAAATCAATGATCCTATGTTCTTTGATACTAAAATGGGAAGATATAATATTAGATAATAGTAAATAATCCAAAGTTTTATACATATTATATAAATAATATTATAATACTGATTATAATAATGCTAAGTAATAAGATAATAGTAAAGAATACCAATTACAACAAAATAACAAGAGGTTCTGATTCACTCCTAATGGGTTCCTTAAAATGCTGATTCTGTGAAAACAACTGCCTAGTCTGAGGCTTGGGTAACTGGGTATTTGCTAAGGATACAGCCAATGGTAGGTATCATCTTAGAGTGACTAACCATGGACTACTCACAGTACACCTCAGACTTTGGCTTATATAAAACCTTGGGCCCCTAAAGGGTTCATTAATTTAAGTATAGAGAACTAGTTCATTTCATATGCCTTTGAACCACTTGGCAGGGGAAGCTTTCATAGCCCTCAAGTTGTACTCCAGCCATCTAAGGGGAAGGGAATATTTTTCCAAAGCAGTATTAGGCTTTTTCT